AATTAATTCCCCAGGCGCAAACTATTTACATCCCAGATACGTCTAGAAATAGGTCTTAGAACTTGGGTGTGAATTGGCCAAGCTATGGGATCACAAGTGCGTTAACTGACCTCTCTGAAAGTTAGTGTCTCCATCTACAGAATGTAGATTATTGACTTGTGTGAATGGATTTGTTCAGAGCTTTTGAGCAAAGACTGGTGTTCATGTGTGGTTAGGTAGGGGAGAGATGGGCAAGACTACTGACAGGAGACCACGATGAAACTAAACAACTCATGGAAAGTACCTACTGTGGTGCCTGGCAGACAGGTATACTACGTCCCTTTTCCCTTCCTCTGCTCGTAGATTAATTTAGTTTTAGAAACTAGCCAACCCTGGAGCTCCGCATTCTTACTTTTAGGACTCTTTAGAAATAAATGAGCTAAGCAGAGTGGTTCATGCCTATAATCCCACTGACTTAGGAGGCTGTGGCAGGATCACTTGAGGCCAGCAGTTTGAAACCAGCCTGGCCAATGTAATGAGACCTTCATCTCTAAAATTAATCAGGCTTGGCGCCTATCGCTCAGTGGCTAGAGCACCAGCCATATATACTGGGGCTGGAGGATTCGAACCCAACCCAGGCCTACCAAACAACAATGACAACGACAACAAAAAAATAGCTGGGCATTGTGGCGGGCACCTGTAGTCCCAGCTACTTGGGAGACTGAGGTAAGAGAATCACTTAAGCCCAAGAGTTTGAGGTTGCTGTGAGGTGTGATGCCACGGCACTCTACCAAGGGTGACATAGTGAGACTCTGTCTCAAAAAAAAAAAAAAAAATTAAAAATTAAATTAATAATGAATAAAAAAAGAAATAACGAAGAAATAAATGTTACATTCTATAAAAATGTTCATACAACGCTATTAACAGTGGCCATCTCAAGGGGCTGGCAATCTTGCCATAGTTATAATTAGTATCTGTTACTTTTACACTTTTTTAATTAGTAGTAAAATTAGAAGAAAAACATCCTGGCTCAGCGCCCATAGTACAGTGGTTAGGGCGCCAGCCACATATACCGAGGCTGACGGGTTTGAACCTGGTCTGGGCCTGCTAAATAACCATGACAACTGCAATGAAAATATAGCTGGTGTTGTGGCGGGCC